TAGTTTGTTGGTGTTTTCTTTTCCTACCAAGGTGTGTTTCACCAGAAAAATGTTAATTGCTTGCTATTTGGTAGATTTGTTACTGATCATTATATGTTTTTCTTTTCTAGTGCCCAGACCTCACCTTTCATTTGAAGCCCAGCTAGTTGCTGGAAAGTCTCACGAATTTGGGGCCATCAGTTGCCCTGAGCTGCCTGATGCCCCTTCAACACTCTCTGAGATGACATATGGTGAACAAAGACATATTGCAGAGTTGAGGTATCCTCAAAGGTTGCACAGACTTAACATATTCCACACTAGTAAAACTGAGGTAAGTACTATCTGAAATGGTATTTTCCTTGTAATACCGGATTACTCTTTGCATTCTTCAATTCTTGGGCTTTCAGCCATGAGGTTATTTCATACCTTAATATTCTTAGATTCAGTTTTCAATAGTTGTAGCTACAGTGAATATAGTTCTTGTGGAGGGACATCTAAAGAATGAGTTAGATGAGGAATCCAGTTTGCTGAATATACAGTTCGATTTAGCACTTTTTGCTCTTTACAAGTGCAAAAAAGTCACATATATATATATCTGGTCGGCTGATTCAAATTATCATTCCTGAAAGTAATATCATCCCCAGCTATTGGAAATCAGAACATCCAACTTTTATTCTACAATTATATTTTATGATTATAATAAAATTATACATGAGGATTAGAAGAAAAGAAGATATAAACTTACACTGATGTGTGTCTGCACCATTTTAACATGTTTTATAACCTTATGAGTTTTTTCAAATAAAAAATGAAAAAAAAAAAAAGTCTGAACCTGTGGCATTGCACTTTGACCAGGAATGAGTAGATGCTGTAATCCTTTTCTCTTTCTATATCTCTAGTCTAATTTCCCCTCCCACTCTCTTGCTCTCTTACTCCTTGTATTCTTTGACAGGATTTGCAGCCTATAGATCGTTTTGTTGTTGAGGAATATTTGCTTGACGTGCTTTTGTTCCTGAATGGCTGGTTTGTATACAACTTGACTCTTCACTCTTTTATTTTTTTGCTATAGATCAGCTGCTAGTGTACTCTTGATGTCTTTTTTTTTATTGGTATTCACTTGTGCCTTGTGGATGTGTTGGCCCTCTTGAGTCAAGTCATCAGATTGATCCCTCTCTCTACGTATATTCTGTCTTTTTTTTATTTGGATTTTACAAGTAATTCCTTTTGTTTTGCTTTCAAAGATATTTAGTCATTTTGATATTATTTACTTTTGCTTCTTGATTCATGCAAAGCTAGTCGAAAGGAATGTGCTTCTTTCATGGTTGGCTTGCCTGTGCCCTTCCGATATGAGTATCTTATGGCTGAGACAATATTCTCTCAGGTAATAAATTATACTACATTTATTCTAAATTTTTTGTAAAAAAATGTGGATGGAGTGAGTGAGAATCAAATTTATTGTAAGGTTCTCTGGTTTGCTTTCTCATTCAAATTGTTTGATTTATAAATTGTATCCTTTATGCTAGCCTACTAGGACTACAATTGATTTTGTGATTACGGACTAAAAAAAAATTGATGGTGAAGTAATTTTTTCTTTTATCAGCTTGATGGTGAAGTAATTGATTTTGATCATTATGTGCCAGTGCCATTGCTTTAATCATGTTGGCATATTTATGGTTGTGAGTTGATGGAGAAATTTTAGGAGGTTCCTTTCATAAAAGGGGTTTAAAATTCCTATGTGGTCTGGTCCCTAATGTTCTCTCTTCTTATATCCTTTCCTTGTCGCTACCTCCAACCAACCATAATGGTATTTTGTGCAATGACCATAAATTTATCTGACCTTGGAAAATGTTGATTAATTCACAGTTGCGATAGGGTTTCCAAGTGAAGGCTGAGTAATTTTCTGCAACATTCCCATACCTCACTTTCTAGTTTGGAAAATGTTCTTAGATTTTCTTCCCCTAATTTTAGAATAATATTTATATTTTGCATGTCCTTTGACAATGCTAGAGTATCTGAAGTGGAACTGAACTGCCTACATCAATTTTGCAGTTACTTCTGTTGCCACACCCCCCATTCAATCCACTTTATTACACACTGGTTATTATGGACCTCTGTAAGGTAATTTATCACTGTCTTCTTTTCACCATTTCCTTTGAGTAGGTAATTTTTTCTGACTGTTAAGCAAACTCTCTAATGCACATTTCATGCTTAGGCTCTTCCTGGAGCCTTTCCTGCAGTTGTAGCTGGTGCTGTTCGCGCTCTTTTTGAGAAAATTGCTGATTTAGATATGGAGTGTCGAACACGGCTTATCCTTTGGTTTTCACACCACCTGTTAGTCTCGACTCGTGCATTATTTTCCTTTTCTCCAGCCCACAAATTTTCTCTCACCTGCTTTATGATTGTTAATGGTTTAACATGTACAGTGAACTAACTAGGTCTCATTCTCCGCTGTTCTAGATTCTGGTTGGTTGATCTTATAACCAATTGATTCTTAGTCGGTGGAAATTGGAAACTAGAAAGTCTTTTACTGGTGTTAAGATAGTTTGACAGATTTTAACATTATCTAATTTTGAAGTTACAATCATAATCTACAATCAACGATAACCTCCATGATAACTTTTCAATTACTAGGAAAGGATAAAGTTGCAAAATTGGTTTTTATGCATTTACGCATGGTTTCTTGACTTTGCAGATCAAATTTTCAATTTATTTGGCCATGGGAAGAATGGGCATATGTATTAGACCTTCCAAAATGGGCCCCACAGCGTGTGTTTGTTCAAGAGGTCTTGGAAAGAGAAGTCCGTTTGTCATATTGGGACAAAATTAAGCAGGTAATGAGGTGTATTAAAGTTGTTATTTTCAGAGGAAAGCTGAAAAGGGGTATCTTTGGGGTTGAATTGATGGTTTAAAATTTTTATTAATCTTAGAAGTCATGCTATCTATGGTCTTCCATGTGATGGTTCTTTTTTGTGAATGTTTAATGTGAAATTTATATTCTTGTCATTTTTAATCTCTTTATACTATGGTTGGCATGATTTTATGTTTAACTAACACCTCTTTTATATGTCATTTGTACAAGTAGAGCATTGAGAATGCACCTGGTCTAGAAGAGTTGTTGCCACCCAAAGGTGGTCCAAACTTCAAGTATAGTGTAGAGGATGGTGGAGAGAAAACTGAACTACATGCACTATCTGCAGAACTCAGCAACAAGGTGAAGGGAAGGTCAACTGCACGTGAAATAATTTCATGGGTTGAAGAAAGTATATTGCCTGTTCATGGTCTGGAAGTTACCCTCAGTGTTGTTGTACAAACTCTTCTTGACATTGGGTCTAAAAGTTTCACTCATTTGATCATAGTCTTGGAAAGATATGGGCAAGTGATTGCAAAAGTGTGTCCTGATCTTGATAAGCAGGTCATGGTTATTTCTGAAGTTAGTTCTTTCTGGGTGAACAATGCACAGATGACAGCCATAGCAATTGATAGGATGATGGGATATCGTCTTATATCAAATTTGGCCATTGTGAAATGGATCTTCTCTCCTACAAACATTGAACAATTTCATACATCAGACCATCCATGGGAGGTACATCAGTGATTCATTTACTTTCCATATATTGTGCTTGTTGATTTTATAGTTGTGACTTGTGAGCTTTAGTGCAATTAGGATCACGATCTCAAATCCAGTTTTAGAAAAACTAAAGGTGGCAAGAAAGCTACTGTTTTTGAAATGAACAGAAACTTGAACAATATGGCAACTTCTTATCAAAAGTTAATTATTTTCAGCTTTGAAACTGAAAATTTTTCAAATTTCATTGGGTTTTAGTGACAAATTCCACTTGAATATTTCATTTGGTGTCTATCTAGCAAGCCTCAAAAAATGGAATGATATTTTCTCACTACCTTTTTCTTTTTATCAGCACCTAAAGCTATGGCAAACTGTATTTGAAATTTTTAAATACATTATCTCCACAGATTATTAGGAATGCAGTTAGTAAGACATTCAATCGTATCTCTGATCTGAGGAAAGAGATATCATCTCTTAAGAAGAACACTGTATCAGCTGAAGAAGCTACAGCACAGGCAAAAGCAGAGTTAGATGCTGCTGAGTCGAAGCTTACACTAGTGGATGGTGAACCTGTTCTTGGTGAAAATCCTGTTAGATTAAAGCGTTTGAAATCTCGTGCTGAAAAAGCTAAGGAAGAGGAGGTATCTATGAATGACTCTTTAGATGCCAAGGAGGCACTTCTTGCTCGAGCACTTACTGAAAATGAGGTATTCAATACATGATTGATTGTTGCATCTCCTTATTTTGTCTCCATTAGCATACAACATTATTGACTGCCATATCTCCTTCAATTACAGATAAATATATATATATATATATTTTTTTTTTCCTTCAATTTGTGTCTTGTCTTCTAGCTTTAAATTTATTTTCCCTGTCTGTGGAGTATTTCCTAATTTTAGTCCAATA